ATAATTTTGACCATAACCATAATGGTATAACTTTCTCTTTAAAAGAGATATTCACCATATGGATGTTGATGAATATGTAGTAGTACAAAATTAATTGAGAGCTCTGGAAGATCCAATTATTACTATTTTGGAGGAGGAACANGAAATATCAAAGGTGAATATGGGCCCATTCACCTGCCGCGTATACCACATAAGATACATCTATGAGATGGTTACATGTGCAATTATTATTAACCCGCAACATTGTGTTTTACGAGGTAACTTGCTCGATAATTTAATTTCGAGCATAATTTCCAGATTTTCTATTCAAGAAGTTCATCTTGATAAGTTGGTTTACATCACAATTGGTTTAGCAAAATAATTTATTGAGTGCCTCCACTTAATAGCTAAACTATTGCTTATGAGAACAAAATTATCTATATCAGTTTGATATAGGTTATATACGAAAGTATATTACAATCTCCCCTCACAAGGGGTTCAGGGTCATGCACCAAATAATTTCATCTTATTATTATTGATGTGCGTATACTTTGATTAATACCATAACGCACAAAGATGGTTTCTCAAAGTTGAGGAAATAAGTTGGTTTTCTAACATGGGGGGGGAGATATGATAAACAATTGAGAAAAAGTTACGTGGAATGAATTATCAGTTGTACATTTAGATCCTCGAATAAGATAATATGAACTTGAAGTTCATAAAAAGATAATTCATGTGCAATATATTGCAAAGCATGCCAGACGCATTTGCTGACCCAAAGAAAGTAACTATATTCTCATTGCAAATGCTCATATTAAGTCCTAGAAGGACAAAGTCTATGGTACGCTTAAAGCATATAGATCGGTTTCAAATAAAACTTCTTGATAAAGAAGATGAGCAAATGATCATAATAAATGAGGCAAGTGATCTAGAAGATCACATGACATAACACTTCATAAAATCTCATGAGAGATTCAGGTACCTGAATATATGAATTAAGAGATCTCTATGTTATGTCTTTATAAAAAATAAGGAGGTTGGAATCGATATAAAATGTTCGTCGACGACATCTATCATAGCGCTAAGTATAGATGAGGATCTTAAGTCTGTCGAATACAGACACAAAAATATTGGCCAAAAAAGAAAAGACACAATCCAAATAGAATTGGTTTCATATGAAAGATATGTAGTTTTGGACTTGTAGTTCAAACACTTGAAAGTATAAAGTCAACAGTGTGTGCTATCACCTTTATCTATCTTATATGTCTAGCATGACATGAAAACTTGATATGCATCTAAAGTCTACTATATGGTTTATACGACTTAACTTATATGGCAATCCTTAAAGGATTTAGATCGCTTAAAGCATATACAATTCTTGGTCCTGAAGTACCATATCCTAAATGCAATTTGTGCACATATGTATCTTGCTATAACTATAAGCATGATAATGTGATAGCGAGAATACCACTATGGAGATATTGAAAAGTCATTCCACGACATTATATGAAGACATTACATCTCTATCAAGAATGATGATTTCAAGGTGCAATATATTCATTCAAGTTAATATGGTTGATTTGTTTATCAAATCTCTACCAACAATCTTTTGAAGATGGTGCACAAGATTGGAATGCGAAGGCTCAAGGATGTGAATTGATGCTCGCATCAGGGGGAGTTAATACGCGTTGTACTCTTTTTCCCTTACAAGGTTTTGTCCCACTGGGTTTTCCTTGCAAGGTTTTTAATGAGGCAACCAAAAGGCGTATTTCTAAACATGTGTACTCTTTTTCCTTCCCTAGAATTTTTTTTCCACTAGGTTTTATTTTTGTTAAGGTTTTAACGAGGCACATTATTTGTTGAACAGACATTCAAGGGGGAGTGTTATAAATAGAATTCTATTTAAGGTGAATGTCTATATTTTAGAGAGATCTTAAGGTTTGTTACTTGGTGTGGCTAAGCCACTTTTTCCCTGTAAATAGAGGGGTTCTATTACATTATAAATCATCCCAAAATCAATGAGAATTCTCTCTCCTTACTTTTCTCTGCAATACTATTCTTCTTCTTTTATTGCTTTATAACAATTTGAAGGTATACGTTAAATAAGTAATGAAAGTTTTATGAGCAGGTAACACTCAGAATTGATGGACAAGTACACAGAATAGAAGAAAAAGGGCAGACGTAACTTCTTTCGATATGGCCTGCTTGGAACAAAAAAGAAAAGAAAAAAATGTCAAAAAAAGAGGGAAAAAATATATAATTGTTGGATATAAAGAAGTGCCACATCACCTTTACATGTATGATGTAACTACTCCCTCCGTGAACTAATTATATAAAATATTTTCTACACTGTCATCGCAATTCGCATGCATATAGTTCATTCTTGTTTGAATTTGTCGTTTCTACATGCTTGGTTATACTTTCACATCCACATATAACGTATTCTTTTACTTTCAGTTTAAACGAGAATTTGTAAGTGCTTTTACGCGTGAACTACATAAGAATAATCTTTTACAACTTTCTAAGAATTCAAGCTTTAATTTTGATGTGATTGTTTATCTGCGAAACAATCTTTTCAAGTCATTATTAATTATTTTTTTATTAAATACATATACGTCAAATTAGTATATTATAATTTGTATCGAAGCCATTATACAAAATGGGAAATAAGACAAAAAACTTCAACTATTTCATTTCAACCAAAAATATTTGGAACTTAAAAGAGTGCTCTTGAGATCTTCCAACAAGTTTAACAAGCCCATGAGGCCCACAGCCCACTCCACCTTACGATTTTGAGGAATTAACGTAAATAGCCGCTCATTCAATCACTTAAACTTTAAAAAATTGGTGGAGGTAAAATATATGCATAATTTATATATTATATATGTATAATTGTATATAATCAATGTATAATCTATATATATGGCTAGAAACAATAAATAATGAATATAGCTGGCTATTTGTGTAAACAACATTTTTACTCTCCACGAATTTAGTTGAATTCAAATTTGATTTCATCAATGATAGAGAGGCGACAAGGTACAAGGGGGTGTGAACAGAAAATCATTTCCAAACAACTTTACTGAAAAAATTATGGTTATTCCAGTCTTTTTTCTTTCTTAATATTTACTCACATGATATCATAATATTCTAGTGGATTAGTACAAGTAAATTACACATTGGACGTGCGAACGAAGTCTTGCATGAAAGAAAAAGAATCAAGTTGTAAGTTATTGGATACTTTTATTAATATAAGACTTTGGGAAAACATTGCGAGTTTAATCTAAAATGGACACTATCACATCATTGTACGCATATCATTCGAATAATTCAGTGCAACATTATTACATAGCAGCTACGAGTTGTGAAAATGTATAGAAGCAATTTCATGTTAGCTTTCCCCTCAGAAATTATGATTCTTCCAACCTTGAAAATAGATGAAGATTTACCCAAGTCAACATTATTACATACTAATTAGGTGCCGATTTATTAATCGGGAGGTTTCTAACATCCTATAGCACACTTATTATATTAAAAATGCTTTTCATAGAAAAAAATCTAAATTTAGTCGCTCTGATCTTTTGGAATACTAAAAAAAATATGAAGATTCGAAAGGGGATAAAAGAATGAAAGAAAGAACACTCCATAGGTGACAAGGCAATTTGGAAGGTTAAAATAAAAGAAGCGAAGTTCCAGGTTCATCGAGTTTCCGTTTTTCGCTTCACAAGTAAACTTTATTGTTGAAAATGTTTTTCGTTATTTTACTGTAAATTGCCAAGAAGCATACTCCAAAAAAAAAAATTAATAATAATAATAATTGGTTACCTCCCAAACAAAGCCATATTCCTCTTTGTTTGAACGCAAAGTGCCCAGGTTTTTCTCTTTAATAGTCCATGTTTTAAAATTTATTTTTCTCATAAAGGGACGAGGGAAGTAAAAATTTGAAATTAAAAACTTACACATATTATGCGATAGATTTACATAACAGCTTGAGCAGATTAGTGCTACGCTCAGCCAATTTTCCTAATTTGTCTCAGTATTTGATGAGATAATAAAGAGAAAGAAGATAAATTAGTAATAGAGAGAAAGAAAATAAATTAGTTCCAAGAGGAGACTCCGCCTAGTTAGTGCATTCCTCATCCTTAGCAGAGGCGAAGCCACAGTTACGTAAAAGGATTGGAATGTAACCAAATGCTCATCCCTCTTAAGAAAATTAGAGTTCGCTATCACCAACTCGAAAGCCTTAGCAAAATCCAATAAAGCAGCACCTCTTCCTTTCTTAGCCTCAAAGCCAAAACCATTTTAGCCCCTAGCATTCATCCCAATATGCCCATTAAAATCCCCTCCTATAAGCAAAACCTCCTCCTTTCGTAGCCTCAAAACCGAAACCACCGTGAACCTCATCATTGCCCCTAGCATTCGTCCCAATATGCCCATTAAAATTCCCTCCTATGAACAACTTCTCTGGTCTTGGAGAGTGTCCTTTGTAATTTCACGTTTATTTCTTTAACGCAAAACACAATCTTAGTAAAGTTTTTCCATATACCCAAAAATGCAACATAAATGAGAAACATAATTCGGTGAAAAACATGGTTCGTGTAGCAACAATAGCCAATAGAATTGAATATTTTGCTAGGCTAATTAGAAGTGCACATCAAAGACCAAAATTGTTACTCGAAAGGAAACAATTTATTTTGCTTGATATTCTTTTAAGTGAAAGAATTTTGCCTCCACAGAGTCGCTTTCTGCAAATTCTGTTAGCTATTTGTTTCGCTTTCTCTTTTCCAAATTTGGTTTTTTTATTTTTTAGTTCAAAGAGCTCTATGATAAATCCATAAATCTAACACCCCTTCAAATGCAGATCTTTTTCCTAGTAAATAGAAAAATCTGCCCATCCTTCACCAAAGAATTACTAACTTTTAACCAGACCAATAGACAAAGAATTTACATTTATTTAAAGCCAAACAGGAAAGTGATCTAACGAACTGGGGCAAGCATGTTAGAAATATGAACCAGAGTCTAAAAAGGACACAAATATTAATTAATTAATTGATTGAACTCAGACGACACATCTTCACAAAAACAAAGTGCACCAGAAACACAGATTTATGAACATAAAAACCCAATTAGCCAAAAGTTCTTAAGCTCTGGTCGACATGTCAAATAAGACCTAGGACATACCAAATTCCAGAACACTGGTCAAATCACATCAGAACCAAACACCCCCAACTACAAATAATAATGGATAAAAAGGAAACACAATTAATAATGATGTAAATCAAGTTAGACCTAGCAAGTTACACCAATGCAATGCTGCTCTCACCACCTGGAGGCTTGCGAACCCCGCCATAGAAGTCCCGAGATTCTACTTTCCCATCCGCGAATATATTACTTCCACTCATCTCTCGCAACTTTGCTGAACTCAGATGCTTCTCAGCTGATGCTGGAGGAGTATCGCCCTTGAAGATGTCGTTTCCAGTGAGCTCTGCAAGTTTCTTCTCAGGAATCCTTTTGGCTGTCTTGACCGCTTGTTCATCAGCAGACACATCACCCTGACAAAAGATTAAAAGAACGAGGCTGAACATATTTTGCTGACAAATAGTGAAGGGAATCAGAAATCGGATGGAGAAACAATGAGAAGAGAGATGTTAAGCTAGTGTCTGAGCACTCAACTCCTTGCCTGACCCGCCCTGAGGTTAAGCTAAGCTAAGCCAAGATTTTTTAGCTCAAGCCTGATAACATGCACAGAGACTCTGCATTTTTAGGATTAAAGACTAACGGGGACAACAAGGTGGTACGAACAGTTTCTTGTGGGATCATTTAGATAGTCTACTAACACTAAGGATAGTTGTACTACAGGGGCACTGAGTCTTGCAGTTCATTGCCAATTTCAACCTCTATGCTCCAGCTACAATTGCTGCTCTACAAAGTAAGTGGATAGACATTGAGCCTATGCAATGCAGAAAGAATGTGGGATGTGCAAGTATATAGATTGAACATAAAGAGATATTGATAGATGTACATACATTATTTGCAGGTTCTCCAATGGTAATGCTCTCTCTTAGTGCTAAAGCACGAGCAGCCAATGGACGAGGTTGAATTTCAGGTGGAGGAGCAAAGATGTCATGGCCAACAAGCTCCTTGGTCTTTGCATCAGAAAGTTGTTTCTTCAACTTCATCTCAGCCTCACTTTCTAGAGTTCCACTTAGTTCCTTCTGCTTTGCCACTTCAGGTATAGTGACCGGCTTCTTTGGGGACACATTATCTTCTTCACCAAATGAAATTTGACTAATACCAGCTACAGCTTGCTGTGGACAAAAAGCAGGTTTAAGAAGTCAGTTCGTAAGGTTATATATAGAGAGGATACGAAGTCCATAGATGATTATGTATGTACATAGGATGGGAAGACCATATATTACGAATTGATTAAATACATAGATAACATAAAGTAGGATACGTACCTGATACATCCTTCTATTAGGGATGGCACTAGCACTGTCAGATTCTAAATTGCCATTTTCTCCATCAGCTACAAAAATACCACTACCTGTCATCTCCTTTAGTTTATAACCCGAACAAGGCTTCCTGCAACAGTGCCAAACTTAACAGTTTCAGCTTATCCAACACAACTTAAGTAGCAAAATAAACGAGAAAGGTACATCATTCCAATTATCATATACTCATAGATATCAGAGACATTGAGACGCCAGGAAAATACAGAACAATAAAGACATTTCAAGTAATGGAGGTGATGAATATTTTTCGAGGGACAAAATACCATGATTAACACAATCCAATATCTCTTTTTCTGTCAAATATGACTTAGGTTATGTCAATTATTGATAAAGTACTATCCAGACAAAGATTTCTCGGTAAGATGTTTAAATCACTTCTAGTTAAGCAACACACATACTGCTGAGTGCAGATCTGAATGCATGAATGAGATTAGATATATGACATAAAAATGTAATATCCTAAGGTCAGAACTTAACTAAATTAGCAGACAAATTACAAAAGCATTGGCCATAAATTGTCAAATTGATACAATAACCACTACAACAGCTCATTCCAAACTAGCCAAGATCGACTATATAAATCATTTAAATGAATTCTACTTTATTTGAGCTCTTTGAACAAAATAATAGAACTGAAAGGAGAAAAAAGAAAAAGAACAGAGAAGAAAGCATAGTGAAAACCATGAAGAATAGAGCCAAAAATAAGAGAAGAAACAAAATAACAATCAAACAAATCCTCCGTACTATATCTGGCCATGGAAGCATTTAATGCCCTCTCGTTCGCTCAGATAAATTAACAAAACCGAAATATACAGAAAACAGAAAAGACAAAAACTAATCCTCCGTAAATTAAAATATAAAAAGCTGAAATATTTTTTACCTCTTGTTCAAGCTCTCAACTTCTTCATCTGTCACTTGACCTCCAAATACCACCTTTTGGATCCCATCCGACGGCTGTCATTTCACCAGCAAAAAAAAAAACATAAACAAAAACCTTAACTTTTAAAACCACATAAAAAAGAATCTTTTTATTTTTAAAAATGTTTTTTAGGAAAAGTTATCCTCTCACCTGGCGTGAACGGGCAGAGGAAGCAGCAGAACCAATAGCCGGAGAATTTTCCGGCGGATTCTCCGACCAAGTAAGCAGATCTGCAGTGGATGTGTGTGACTTTCTAACTGGAGTGCTTTTTTCCATTCTTGGACCAACCCACCAAATTGCTCCAAAAACCACAACCCACAAACAGATTCTTCTTCTTCTTTTAGCTCAAGACTCTTTACTTCAGCTTGGGTTCTGTGGAAAGCAATAAATTAAGAGATCTAAGAAGGAGAAGTTGGAGAAAATATTTGTATTTTTTTAAAGGGAGGGTTTGTGTTTCCTTTGAATCTACTCTCTGCTTTTTTGCTTGCAGTGAGTGTTTGTTGGGACTTGGGAGCTACGATAGATAGATAGAGAGAGAAAAGAGAGGAAAATGAGGAAATTAGGAACGTTACTGTGTGAGTGTGTGTGAAGAGGAGAGAGAGGACTAAGATTTATTCAGGGTTTTAAAATTTTTTGAATTTTTACTCCGCCAGATTTATTAATTATTAGTATTAATTAAGTAATTAATTTAGGGCGTGGGGAGTGGGTGCGGGGTGAAGCATGTGCACAGCTTGGACAGGCACGTGTAGGCTGGTGGGTCCCTTATTAGTTTATTTCTTTCTCCTTTATTTACCAGGACGCCCCTATATAATTTTTCCTACTCCCTAACTACCCCTTTCTTTCTTTTTTAGTTAAGGAAATATAGCTGGCTTTGGGTTCGAAATAATTTTAATTTATTGTAGATCATTTCTTGCGCCACAATTTATGGAATCTTAATCTTGAATAATAAGCGATAGTGATCGATTTTTAAAGATTAAGATAAGATCTTATATAATATAAGAAATTTATTTACTCCATTATGTTCGTGTATGGGTCAAAATCTGACCACATTGGGTTATTATTAAAAGGAATGGTAAGGGGTCGACCAAGCCATAGTCGTATCCACGAGGCGTAATGTCACGCCCCGAACTATGGCCTGGGCGTAACACGGCACTCGGTGCCTGGCTGCATGCGACCGAGCGAACCAACTGTATGGCTGGATCAACATGTGGTATAACTATGAGCTAGAGGTAACTGTAAATCATGATAGTCTGCTAAACAGTCTGACTAAAATATCATAGATGCGGAAAAATACTGAAAGGTCTGCAAGTATAAACAAGTAGCCGACAAGGCTAACACATGAAAGCCTGCTAATATCTGACTGACTGGGTT